CTGGCGCCGGGGGGGGGGCGGGGTGGGCCCGGGCGAAGTCCCCTGGCCCGGCCTGGCCCGGCTTGGCTCGGCCCGGCCCTGCTACAGCTCCTGGGGCTGGACGACGCCGGGAACAGGCAGAGGTCACGCGCGCGCAGGGGGTGCGGGTGCGGGGCTGTGCGCACAGGTGCGTGTGTTTGCGTGTATGGCATATGTGCCTCACGTATGCAGTATATGTGTGCGTGTATCTGTGAGTGCGTGCAGGAGGTGCCTGCATGTGTATACAGTTGGTGTGCACCAGTGTGTGCATATATGAGTACAGTGCATGTGCCTCTGAGTGTGCATGGTGCAGCATGTTCATGCACGTGCGTGTATGTGCATGCAGGGGGTGTATGCAGGAATGTGAGTGCATGCATGTGTGTGTGCGGTGTGTGCAGTGCAGTGTGTGTGTACATGTGCAGGAGTGCATGTGTGTGTGCAGTGGGTGCATGCATGCATGTGCATATATGGACAGTTGGTGTGCATATGAGTGTGTGGGAGTGCACTTGTGTGTACATTTGTGTACGCACAGTGGGCGTTTGCCTGTGTGAGAGTGCGTGTGCACAGGTGTGGTGTGTTCATGTGTGTATGCATATGTCTGCTGTGAGCGTGTATGCATGTGCGCATATTCGTACTGTGCGTGCATGAGTGTGTGCATGTCTGTGCACGAGTGCAGTGATTTTGTGTGCGAGTGCATGCATACACACAAGTGCATCTACAATGCGTGCATGTGTGTATGTTCATGTAGTGTGTGTGTTCACATGTGTGTAGCACACTTCGCCTCACTGTATTATAGGCCCGCAGGTGACAGGATGGTAGTCTCTTTCTTTAACAATGACTGTGCATACGGCCTGAAAATTTTCTGCAAATGGGACCTGGGGGTGCTTAATGTTAAATTAGGAGCTCTTTTCCCACCATGCTTTTGCATACTCAGTAGTTCGCTGCGGGTGTTCGATCGGCAGCCTGTGGACCACTTGCAGGGTGTCACAGGCCATGTTATGGCCCACAGACTGCATGTGGCTCGCAGGCCCC